TAAGTTCCAGTAACTATATATTCCACCACGTAATTGCGTATTCCAGTACAAATTAATTGTATATTCCAGTACAAATTGTACTTTTCTGCTGTGTAATTGTGATTTATTGGACATCTCATAATTATTATAAGTACTGCCCTCAGTAGAATTATTTTTTCCTAAAATTGATTTTTCTTTAAATTATTTTTTTTTAGATTTTCCTTTTTCCTTTGGAAAAGAGAAACATAGGCGCTGAAAATATTGTTTTTTTTTTTGTGAAAGTACAGTTGTATTACAGATCGGCATATTTTTTTCGAAGATTAATTTTTTCAAGTTTTTTTAGACTTTCTTTTTTCCCAAAGGAAAAAAGAAACACAAGCGCTGGAGATTTTACTGTTTTTTTTTTTTGCGAAAATTTTATGATGGTGAAATTTTTTTACTATTTTAAAAAATAAGGAATTTTTTTGCACATATTACTTTCAGGTACGGAAACTGATTGAACGTCAGCGTGCAAATTTGTCAGATTAGATTATGATGGTGCATATGTTTTGTTGGTCTCAAGAAAACGTTGTTACCAAGATTACCAGAATCGTGAGAATCGTGAGTACTGTCAGTTTGGGCTATCGAATAACAGCAAATTGTTAGGTACCGCTTTGCCACGTGCTCTGAGCTGTGAGCTTCCAGCTAAGTACCCACGTCTTCGTGTTATATGACTCATTTTACATGAAAATACTCATTTTTGCTTTAACTTTGTAAGTTTTTTTTAGATTTACTTATGCTGTTTTTGAAGATTCATCTTTTTTCATCCAACATAGATTGTATCCATTCTGGTTGAATTAAGTAAGCATCTGAAATATTGCATGAAAATCGATGGGTTACTTCGACATGGAATTTCGAAATTTTTTTTTTTGGATGAGAATCGGTGGGCCACTCGACATTGAATTTTCGAACTATTTATTTAATGTACAAAAATTCCTAGCTTCTAGCTTTTTTGGTTCTTGACTCACGGGTTCTTGTGTGAATTTGGCACTGAGGTCATAATCCAAGATGTAACTAAAGCTCAAAAGCTGATAGCACATTTATAAAAATTCGAGAATTTTTACCCCCTTCGGGCTCTGAAAAGATTCAGCGTATAACTTTTCTTACGGGTGAATTAAATTTAGCCTAATTTTGAAAATAGCTTCATAGGTCATCTCACTGCATTGGTTGGAAACTGATTAACAAGTCATTTTACCTGGCCTGTAAAATGAATTAATGTCCCAAAATTT